TTACCCAATGATGAATATCCCTTACACTGTTAGAGGTTGTAATGCGGATCTGAACACAGCTCAAGGAATGGCATGTTTTACTCATTCTAAAGATATTTTGCATGGTTAGTTCATTCTTGTTTTCCTTGCCAAGAAGATGACAGTGGTTCTTTCCTTCATCCCTTTCTACAGGAAGTTGTTCTTCCTATGGAAAGGAGGGGGTCAGTTTGTGTAAGTAGTGATAAGTTTATCTGGCTCTAAAATGATCCTGGCTTATGGCTACAATAAAATGAATGTTTAAACTGTTACAAAATCAACTACTAATATTTATATTTTATCTAGGTTCTCTACTACCACTATCTGTTCAGGCCACACCCTGCCTGGTTCTCCTTCCAATGCTGAAGTAGTTTTTGACTGCTACAAAGGGCAGTGTCTGGCGAGAGAGAAAGATTTTTAGCTGAGACATTACAAGAATTATTTCATTTAAAATGTACAGGTTTGGCTTATGTGCTGCCAATTTTTGTACACAGGATTATAGCCATGATACCCCTGGGGTTGAGTATCTGAGTACGCCCCTGAAACTTACTCAAATTCAAGTGACATACCAATGGGAAGCAATCTGATATCCTCCAGCATTTTTTGGACTACAGCTTCAATCAGCCACAGACAGCATTGACAATGATGAGTGGTTATGAGATTTATAGTCCAAAATAGCTGTCACTCACCCCTCGTTTTTACCATTTATTTTGGCTTGTGTGAATAAATTTGAACATGAATTTTCATCACATTCCATTAGACCTTGATAGATACCCACAGTGCTTCATCAGGAAGGCACAAGAGAAAGGCACTTGAGGACATATTGCGTCACAGCTGATCAGAAGAGGCATCCACTAACTACTGCAGTTCTTCAGTTGATGTGAACAAGCCTCATTCACAGAGCCTGGCTCAAGCCGTTATGGAGGGAGGGTGAATTTCCACGAGCTTGCCAATAAAACCAGCTACCTCAGTAAGAACTACCCTAGCGCAAGGCAGAACATTTCAACACTACACCTGTTCTCACAGCACCGCAACATGAACTCACACCTTCCACTTGCATCATATGCTACCTGAAGTCACGTCAACTGTAAGATCAGACACATTTAATCACATTAAAGTCTAGACAGAGTGCATGTTATTTATAGTACTTTAACTGCCTAAGGTGAGGCATAGAAAAATTTGAAATCAATTCTGATGTCTCAAAGAATCTGGGGCCAATTCAACACAGCCAAGAAGAGCATGTACTAAAAACAAAAACATAGCTTGATTCCCCATTTAAAAATAAAGTCAAGTAAAGCAAAGGGATGGAGTTGTTCACTTTCCTCTCAGCACTAGCTGCAAAGTAATTACTGTTTTTGAAACTGTTTTGCTCAAAAAGTCAATCATTAAATTGGCACAAATAATGTTCTTAGTAACTAGACAGCTGCTGTGACTATCTAAAATCATATGTGCCTTGATATACGCAGGCTGGTAGATTAGAGATTTTAATGGCACAGTAATAAAGGCATATTTCAAGAAACCCTGGAGTACGTTTTAAGCATATATGGAAAATAAGCAGATTGCCCCAGAGCATTGCACCTTGTTCTGGGATAGCTGAATAGTTACATATGCTTCCAAGATGTTACAGGAATCAGTTAAAGACACTTTGGCTACAGAAGGGAAGACCTTCTATGATTTACTTCTCCCTCACAGGACTAAATGGTCATGTGCACAAAAAGGAACAAAATCCCTTCTACATCTTGGGTAAATGGATTCCTGTTTTGCCTCTACCCTCCACATACACATTCGGTTTTTTTTGAGTAGGAGCATTACATCATGTGAGCATCCCATTTCCAGTCCGAAATAGCACAGTCTAGAAACAGGCTTACCAACAGCAGAGAAGGCAGTAGGACCTAAACGAAGGTCCTGGTTCACAGGTAACAACCACCAGAGTACAGAATGAGGAAGGGTTGCTGCTAAATTGTGGGCTGTTGTTACACACAAACCCAGTACTATGATTTGACTATATTTTTAACCACAAACAACCCTGAGTTCATAATGTAACAACAAATCATGGGTTCTGCACGTAATTAAACCATAAACCAATGACAATCATGATTCATGGTATACTCTGGGTTGTTATTACATGAGAACTAGGCCTATGAGTTTTTCTTCCTACTTCCACAGAAGTAGTCTTCTCTTGAGTGTGGTTATTTTATTGATAAACATTGCCTCACACTCCTAGAAAGATGCATAACACAAGAACATCACAACAGGAAGATTGCCTCAAGCATACATGGCTGACTCTTCTAGCCAGGTCTACAGGAGGTGGAGTGCAGTGGAGCTTATAGGTTGTGTGAAGAGTTTCCACAGAAACAGAAGGTTCCCCTCTTCAGAAATTTGCCCTGAACACCAGAAGAGACTGAGAACAGCATAAGAGAGAGGCTGGAACTAGTATGTTTATTCTAACTTACTTGCACAAGGGAAAGAAAGAATGCCTGAGCATAATGAAGCAGTCAATCGGGTAGAGAAAAGTAGTTCCCAGCCCAGCCCTAAATGGCTTTGGACAGAAGTCTGATTTTTTCAGAATTTGTTTTCCAATCCGTGAAAGTTAAGAACCACCTCAGTGTTTGCGAAGATGAATATGAACACTGTATTACTAAATGAACGAGGAAACACACAGAAAGGTTAAAAGCACACATCATGACAACTGCTGACTAAGAACAGGAGAGGACTTTCTCTTTTCCATTTATGTGCACCCATATCCTTCTCTTTTCCTACAGGAACTAGCTTTGATGGTGATTAACAATTGCATTACTCTTTGGTTGGCTTAATGCCAAAGCACTGAAGAAAAGCATTAGCACTGTTTTGAAACTATACTTTAAGTCTACAACCATGGCTCCTCTCTTACATTTATCTGCATTTAAAGATGTCCATTCTATGCAGCAGACTAATGAAATGAAAATGAAACACCCACCACTGTCCTATGACTTTTTGGATTCAATGGGTTAAGGTCAACTTAGGAGACAGGTCATAGATTTATGTGGACTTTAACACACAAAAGCTTATATCACGCACATTAGTCTGTATGATGCCACAGAATGCAGTTTTTCCTACAACAGACTAACATTACCATCTTTAAAAACCACACCGGGAATATACAACCATAGTCAGCATCCAGACAGTACCATCTATGGAAGCTATACAAAGTCTGAATGGTAATCTGTGGACTGTAGCTTCAGCCATGCAAGGATAAACTAATTATCTCCATCCACTGGCAAAGATCCGCCAGTAAACTCAACAGAATAGGATTACAATTATTCTAACTCCAGCATTTCTGAAAAGGCAGGCTATTCAGATCGGCACTACCATGCAACAGTAGCAGAAGACAGCAGACATTCAAACTGATAAACAAGTCCAACATTATGTGTAGATAGCCATAAACAGTCCTTTAACTCAAAGCAGGACCCAGTTGTAAATGGATACTTTTATGACTGCATTTTGGCTTTCATTTTCAGCTTTATTAGTCTGGCATTGAAAATGACATCCGAAGAGAACCAGAACACAAGAACTGTCAGATACATTTACAGCTCAATTCTATGCAAGCAAGTACCACTGTGTTCAATGGGGCTGACTCCTTGGAAATGTGCACTGGCTTGCAGTCTTCAAAAGTAGTTCTAGTCTACAGGTTTTAGAACAAACAGTTACAGATTGGCTCAGTGATCTCTCATGCAAGTTTAAGAAACAATCTTAATCCTTCTCCCATTTCATTAGATAGAACCTGGCTTTCAACAGGAATTGTTCTTTAGTAACACTAGGTATAAGGAGAGGTATACAGAAAAAGGCAAACAGCTGTCATGAACTGGAGCCTCCTTCCTTTTATAAAATCCACACCTGGATTTGCACTTCCATTCAGATTATGAGATTTTAGTTAAAGAAATGGTGTTAAATTTCCCCAGCCATACGCACACTGCAAACAGGTAGATACAGGGCTTAACATAAAAATCTTGTATACTGTATGTTATCTCAACCAGATTCCAATACTCTCCTATCCCATTGCTCAATTAGAGCACGGTAAGTACTTCCCATAAGCCAAGTTCACCGGGGAAACAAGTTCCTGCACAAGTCATCTGCTCACCTTCAGTGCAAGAAACAGCATTAAAAGAGCCCCCCCCCGCTTTAAACCGCGTTGCATTTTTCAAGTAGAGATGCAAAAAACATCTATGAAGCCGTGCACGCAAAAATCTCGCCGGCTACAAATGCTGCTGGTTTCTAGGCAGCAATTAAGGATCAGACCTGTTGCAAGCCAAGATTCCTGGAAAGGCATCCGAGAGCAGACATTTCGTTCCAACAGACTTGGAGCCGGGAGCTACAAAAAGGCATCCGCGCGCCGCTCTTGCACCGGAGATCACGCGAGCAAACTTCCTCAGAAGTAAACCAGAGCCTTACTTCCAAGTAAAGGTGCAGGCGTGTGCAGCCCTAGACCCAACCGGAGGGGCGGGGGGGGGGCCAAACCCGGGCGCAGAACCGCGCTTCAGCACACACGGTTCCGAGCGCATCTCTGGCGCGCCCACCAGACCCATCGCGGCGGCCGCAGCAGGCAGGACCCCCGCGCCCCGGCCCCAAACCTCGGCGGGAGAGGGCCCCTCCAGAGCCCAGCAGCGTCGCAGCCCCTCCCTCTCATCCCCTCTGTCGCTCCCCGGGCGGAGACCAGAGCTCGCAGCTCCTCGCCCCCCATGGGGGCGCAGGGGGAGACCCCCGCCCCCCCCGGCTAGGCCTCCCCATCGAAAGAGGAGGGAGCCCGCCGCCGCCAGCGCACGCTCGGGCGCCTTCTCCGCGGCGGGACGCGGCTGCCCGGGAGACACCCCACCCACAGGCGGCGCGGCCAGCCCTGGCGCCCGGCGAGGAAGAGGAGGGGGCTCCAGCCGCCCGGCGGAGCCGCTGCCCCACCCTTGGAGAGCTCGCGGAGAAAGACGAGCGCGGCCGCCCCGTTCCGGGCCCCTCACCTGGATGAACTGGATGGTGAGCGCAGACTTGCCCACTCCGCCGCCGCCTACCACCACCAGCCGGTACTTTTCCTGCCCTGGGCCGTCCCTGCAGCCCGAGGCCATCGAGGAGGAGCCCAGGCCAGGCCAGGCCAGGCGAGGCGAGGCGAGGCGAGGCGAGGCGCACCGCGGCTCTGCTGCTGGCTGGCTCCGCGGCTCCCTGCCCGGCTCGGGGGGTTGCCGCCGCCTCGCCGCTGAGGCGACTGCGACTGCCCCCGTCCGCCGCAGGCCGGCCGCTGCTGCGCGGCGAGCGGACACGGGCGAAGGGAGGCGCCGGCCACGCAGTCCGCGACCGGGAGGCTGCTGCCGCTCGTCCTTGCCTGCGCAGCGACGGCGCCTGCTAGCAGAGTGAAAGCACCAGTGGTCCTACTTCGGCTACAAATGGCCGTCGGGAGGAGGGGTAGGCATGCTAGTAGAGATGAATATTCATCAGTTGGGCGGGGATTTCCTTTTCCTGCAAGAGCGGAGGGCGCCCTGGTAAGAGCGATCTTGTTTACACATGCACCAGGGGGCCGAGGCGGGAACTTTTCCTCTTCCCTCACGGGCGCGCACTTACTTTCCTCTAGCATCGCATTTCCCTGTATTCACACCGAATCATGGCATTTGATAAATGAGAGAGGCGTGCCTGCGTGTATGGATCTTACAAATATTGTGATCAAAAAGTGAAGCCTGGGCAGCGCCTGGTTTTATTTTGGACCAACTTCTTAAACTTCACCAGTCTAACTGAAGCCATTGCAGTTTGGGGGCCCTGAGTGAGTGGTAAACCTTGTATTGGTCGACGTGGAGTGGAACAAGTGTGCAAGTCTCTGCCACATGGAGCCATAAGACCTGTTTAAGTCCATTGAGGTGAATGGGTTTTAAGTACAGTGGTACCTTGGCTCATAAACGCCTCAGTTCATGACCAAACTGTTCGGGTTTGTGTTCATGACCAAACTGTTTTGTTCGGGTCGCGAACGAAAATTTTGACTCAGGTTGCAAACTCCTCATTGGGTGGCAACCGTGATTGCGGCCGTCTCCCCCCGCCCCAAGTGGGGAGATGGCCACGATCGTGCCCATGTTTGTGCCTATCTTTCCTGCAGGAGCGCAACCACGATCTTTGCCATCTCCCCGCCCAGCACGATTGCACTCGTCTCCCCACCCCCACCAGCGTGCCGGGATGACAGGTGTGATTGTGGTCGTGCTGAGGGGCTGGGAGATGGCTGCGATCTTTGTTGTCCTTTGTCACTTTGCTTCACATTTTTCTGATTTAAAAAAATAGTTACAGAATGGATTAACCTTATTTACACTGAACCTTATGGAGAAATTTGACTTGGCTCATGACCAATTTGGGTCACGACCAGAGTCCTGGAACGGATTAAGTTTGTGAGCCAAGGTATCACTGTATGCCTATTTCCAAGTTGGACCGCAACATTTATTTCCAAGTAGATAGCTATTTAACAGACATTGCAATTCTTTTTTTCCCAACCTGTACTTTAGTTCAGTCAAGGTTCACCAGGGAAAATCTAGCCCAGAACCTGCTTTAACTGTAAACAGCCAGACCCAGGGCATAAGACGGGATTGTATATTATTTGTTACCTTTGTGTCAGTTTTTCCTTCCAGCAGCTTGCTCCCATGCCCAGTGATGGCATCCATTCTAGGTACAGACAAAGCCACTGGCCTGCTTATCCTCAGAGATAGAAGCTCATTCCAAAAGGAAAACCATTCTAGAAGGAAAGCCAACAATTCATGTTAGTGGTGGTTCTGTGGAGAAACTCAAAAGATGTGCTGCTAACAATGCCTTTCTTCCTTAATGTACTTTCTCTGATAGGAAAAAGATGGGAAATCCAGTAAGAATTATGGGAGGGTTGTAAATGGAAGAGGATAATGTCTCCCCACACACTTACATTCTGGCATCAGTGATGCAGCTAAGACTGGATCTTGGGGTCAAAGTCCAGAGCCCCAAACTGTGACTCAGAGACTCATAAGTTCTATGTGAACTTAAAATGCAATACTTCACATGCTCACAGCATTTTGTCAAATCTTTTACATTTTTAATTGACAAAAAGCCTTATTGTTGCCCATAATTATTAGGAATGTAAATACAATTTTAAAGTATGAAATGGTCATTGAAGGACTGGGGAGAGGAATATTGCTGCACCACTGGACCCCCCCCCCCCCCACCATTAGCTAGCTATGCCACTGATTGTGATTGCACAGTAAAAGTCTCATCTGGAAGCATGCAAGAGTGCTAACGTTTGCATTTGGAATCCTCATTCAAGAGCCTTGAAATGTTTGGCTTTTATTCCAAGCTCTTGCATGTGGCAGGTGGGAATGCTCACTCCAACCTCAGCATCCTCTTGCACCCTCCTTCTGGTTCTCACAACAGCTCCGTTCAATTCAGGAAAGCAGATGGAAGCAGCACAAGCACCACGTTCTTCCATGTTGTACCCTGAATTCTCATACCTTGTAAAAAAATAAATGCGTATTTCAAAGCTTCTCTGTCCTCATACAGATGCAAAAATCCTAGCCTATCTGGCCATACTTAATTGTATGCTAGTGTCTGTTTAAACTGGTGTGCCAAGAGCAGACTGTGAGAAGGGACTGAGGGGGCTGGGAAGCCTGAGACTTGGCTTGGGGTGGCCCCTTTAACACTGTCCCTTGGTCTCCCTCAGTTGAGGTCCTAAATGCAGGTTTGGGTTTGCCCCTGTCTCAGAGAATGTAGCAGTTTCTTGTCCTTTACAGGAGACATCCAAACAAAAAGAGACAGCCTTGGTTCCTGAACATCTCCCTTTCAGTCATTATACCACACCAGTAACAAGAATAACGATCACAATGTTTGAGTTAAATTTCCCTGACAATCATTCAGACAGTGTTCTCTTTGAGGCTCCTCTCCCTATTGGGACCATTGATTCTCAGTGTTTTCACTTTTAGCTCCAGACACTGCCCTTGGAGGCATTTCCTGGTGATTGGGGCAGGGGGTGTCTTCTTTCCCCAAGCAAACCTACAGTGGTGTCACCCACCAGACTTGGCTGGAGACCCTTTCAGGCCTCTCCTCCCCATCCCACTCCAAGGACTGAGTGTCCAAGCAAGTTAATTCTGCAGGTTGATTAACTAGGCGAGCTAATTCCATCAAGATTGCTTGCTCCTTGAACTACAGCAGGTCTGTTTCTCATTATTAAGCTCTGCTTTGTTCTGCTCAGTGTTGCAAAATCCCCCAGCGCAGGTCCACATTGCTGTCTCTCACCAGCACATTTAATTTGCCCTCCAACACCTACACAGTAAGTGGCTGCAGGTAGCCAATCATGCCACTCTTTGCCTCTTGGGGGTCCTCTCACCCCACAGCCAATTAGCTAAATGCTGCTGCCTTCTCCTCCTCCCTCTGCCCCCTTAGAGTGGGTGAGCAGCAGCTCTTCTGACTCCCCACCCCTGAAGTCTCCTCTGGCAGCGCAGATCACAGCCACTGGCCACTGCTAAAGCAATCAGCAAGGCAAAGCTAGAAGCCCTGCTGAGAGAGAGCAGCTATTGCCATGGGAGATAGACAGAAGGAAGGAAAGGGGGAGCAAGGCGTACTCTTGAGATACTTGGGAGCTGCCAGCAGCTCTCAGGCCTTGCAGCAAAGCATACTGTCCAATGCTTCTCTCTCCAATGTGTTGTTAAACCACTGAGACAGACCTAGCAAGTCCGAGTGCATATGGCATGCGTGTGTGTCTGTGCTTGTTTTAAAAAGATCTAAAACTCATAATATTTTAGTTACTGATTATCATTACAGTGATATTTTGGTCTACGTTTAAAGATTATTTACTGTGAGCAGCCTCAAAAAAAAAAAGAAAAGAAAGAAAGAAAGAAAAGAAAAGAAAAGAAACCCACTTAATTCAGCAAAATGGCATAAAAGTTTCTAAAATAAGCATAATGTACACCCAGGCTGTTAGCTATCTCCTTGGGGCAGGGTCCTTTCCTCCTGTCTTCTGAAAAGGTCTGCATACCTATGGTGCTTTATAAATAAATGAATAATTCGTCTTTGACAGGGCTAGAGATGGATTCTGGAGGCAAAGTGTGGACAGCAGGTTGGGGGCACTCTGTCAGACCAGTCAGTTTCAGAACCTGAGCCAGGAGCAGGACCAAACTGAGCCAGGAATTAGGACCAGGCAGAACCCAGCTGGCCACTTGCGAACCCTTCTGGGCCACAGTTCTGCTCTGTGGCCATCCTCAGGCCATGGATGCTGAAACATAGCAGAGAGAAGGTCAGCAGCTCCCTCCCCTGGCAAGGTGTAGTAGTGGCAGCTTGACTTCACTTCCCCACTCACAGTCTCCCTGCTCAGCTTTGTTGGAATTTCTGATGGCCTTTAAGCTCTGAAAATAAAAAATCTGTGTCAACTAGAAACATAATAACTGGGGAATAAGTTGTGTCTCAGTTCTGTTTCTGGAGGCCCTTATGAAGTAAAGGATCAACCCGGCAAATCCAGAAGTTGCTGACATCCCAGTAATCCAAGAAGGGCGCTGAGTGTGCTGAAGCAAGCTTCCATTTAGAGATGCTTTGAGGAGAAAAGGAAAAAGACTGTCTTGGGGAAAGGCTCAGCACCAAGGCTGAGTGTTCAGCACATGTCCTTGAACAGGTGGCCTGTGATGTCAGTTCAAACGGTACACAACACCTATCAAGGGGAAGAGAGAGCCTCCCTTCTTCTTCCCCTCCCCAGCAGATGGTCACTGCAAGCAGGACCCAACTTCGGTATAGCAGGGGAAGGCACGGCAGTGGGGACACCTCCTGCCTAGGTTTGTGCTTCAGAACTTGTGGATTTGGGCTAATGCGATAAAAGCTGTGACTTGAATAAGGGTGGAGTGGACTGGAGTGGGAGGGGTAAAGAACCATCTGGCTGGTTTGCCTTTCTTACCTAACAATGAACGTTCCTGTGGGAAGAGCAGCGTTGTAACACAGTGGCACTCGACACAGCAAATGACTGTTTCCACAAGAAGCTTTTTGCCCAAGCTTACCAGTCAGACAATCATGTGATTTCTACACTCCCTGCCTTGTCCTCCTGTCCTTGCCATGCATTACAGCAGCTCCCGTGAGTGAAATCACTATTTCCCCCCCCTGTGCTTACCTAGGGACTGAAGCAGCCTCCTCCTGATTGGTCTGCTGTGATCCTAAGGTAGATTACCTTCCCCTCCAATCGCTCCCTTCTCCCTCTGTGTATTGTCGAGCTGTCCCCTTGTTTCCAAATGTGAACAGGGAGACGGATGCATCCCTTTGTCAGTGGGAATAAAGCGAGCAGTGATGTGTCTTGCTAGGGAGCTGAGGGCAGTAGAAATCGGAGGTTAGAAGCAGCCACTTCCACAGCTGCCCTTGCCAGGGGACTTGATGGTGTTTCCATACCAACAGTGGTAAAATGGCAAGTCTGGG